TTTATGTTCTCATCATCATGCATTTATGGTTTATCAGATTTCAGTAGTAGTTATAATGTCAATCTATGTTTTATAATACTGACTGTGGCGTGGCAGTGAGATAGCTCAGAAAGTTTGATCTCTGACCACGGATGGTGGAACCTTAAGAAGCCGAAGCAGGAAAACCATACCTTTAAGGACAACTTAGTCTTCAAGGTGACACTCTGTCTTAAAACAAGAAAGTGCTGCTCAGGAAAGCTCTTACCCAAGTGACCAAAGCCAAGAAGTTATAAACAAATGCTTCTAAGTCCTGGTCTCCTGACTGTAACTGGATGTGTTCTTATCTTGGTCTCCACTCATATTCCTTTTGCACCCTTTGTTCAGACAAAGGCCTATTATGCTCTAAGGCTGGGATGTTAGAACCAAGTGGAGAACTGTTTCCAGCCTGCCTGACAAAGAACAAGGATACTCTTAACAGACATTCGCTCCTCATTTGGCTAACAACTACTTAAACAGTGTTCCCCAGTGAGTTTCCATTTACCTAGGAGCACCATTCTGATGGGTACAAAATCCCAGATCCTTCCAGAGGAAATTTGTCTCCCAGAGAGAGGTTTCTGATTTCTTTGACCACCTTGGAGGACAGAATGGAGTCAGACAGCAATGGGAGAATGATTGGCAAGACCTCATAATGGCTGCATAGCTCTATCAACTCAAGTCTTTTGCTTTCTGTAATCTTGTGTCAAGAATTCCACTGATGGACCTCAGAGCACACTGGATAACTGGTACCTCTTCCCTATGTAGTCATACTGACTAAACCTCCTTTGTCTTGTTCACTATGAATTTGCCTCTTTAAGTTTGCCTTTTAAGGACAGCTTGCCAAGCCAGGCTTGTTAGGGCTGCCAGAACACAGGCTCTGACCCTAACAGTTGATTGATATGGTTGTTGATTTCCTTTGTGTGTTTGTGATAGAGTCTCACTTTGTAGTCCAGGCTGTCTGGTACTTCCTATGTAGACCAGACTGGCTTTGAATACACAAAGATATGCTTGCTTCTGTCTTTTGATTCTAGCACTGTAAATGTGTACCACCGCACACAGCAGTCACTGATTTATTTGTTCACCATACTGAAAGTCTCTGATAATGACTCTTTTTTGGGGATTAATAGTTCACAGACTGTCTTCACAACTCAACTCACACTTGAAATTTATTAAACTTTTCTTCATGGTTTCTCCCATAACATTTTTTTCAGGTATACTTTTTCCACCTACCAAAATCAAAGCACTTTCCAGCCTGGGCTACCTTCCGGCCACTGTACAGTGTACATTCTGATTCCAGGACAGGAGGGGATCAGAGGAAGCTGGGGATTGAAAATGTGAGGAGCTAGCCGGGCAGTGGTGGCACATGTCTTTAATCCCAGCACTTGGGAGGCAGAGGCAGGCAGATTTCTGAGTTCGAGGCCAGCCTTGTCTACAGAGTGAGTTCCAGGACAGCCAGGGCTACACAGAGAAACCCTGTCTCAAAAAACTAAAAAAAAAAAAAAAAAAATTAAAAAAAAAGAAAGAAAATGTGAGGAGCCATGGACAAATAAGACATATCTATTCACTGTGAGTGAAGACCACCAGGCCAGCAGCCTCCAGCAGGGGCCCAGGCACACGATGGCACACACAGTCCACACACAGGAACTCATAGGCCTAGACAGTCCAGTACACAAGACACAGGAATGTAGGGATAGAGACCTATAGACAGGCTGGGGAAGGCAGTCTCAGGCTCCAGCCTCTCACCTACAAGAACAAAAAGAAACCTAGGTTAGGACATGCCATTTTCTGAACAGAATTCCAAAAATTGCATCTTTAAAGTGAGAGTATCTTCAGTGTTTGGACCCAGTCAACCCCAAGAAAGAGTCCATAGTGAACCAATCAACTCTCAGATGATTTAGGGGCTTAAGTGAGAGCTACAGAGACATGAAAGGAAGTGAAGTTATTTTTTTTTTTTTAACAGAGGCCACACAGGTTCTGGGAAGAGGCAGACCAGGGCTGTGACTATGACTAGGAGGAACTTTCCATGAATCATATCTCACAGAGATGACAGAGTCACCTGACATGTCTTTGGAGGTCTTAAAATTTACTATAGAGATAAAAAGGTAACCAGGAAGCACAGTTAAGAAATGTGTGTCATGCAACTCACTGGTAATATGGTGATGATGACCACTCAAATAAAAATAGGAAGTCATTTGAGTGGGCATTCGTATAGAAGGATTTATAAAGGTTCGGTGAGCACATGAGCTTATGCTTGACATCACTACTCATCAGGGAAAACTTATAATCATAAAGATTGACATCACTACTCATCAGGGAAAACTCATAATCATAAAGATTGACATCACTACTCATCAGGGAAAACGCACAATCATAATGATTAACCACATCACACCTGTTGGTTAAAATAAGAAAAGAGAAACCATGCACAGGAAGAAACTGAAACTCGTAACTTGCTGGTGGGGACATATAATTGCACAGAAACCTTCAAATTCACTAGGTAGTTCTACAAACTGTGACATGTAGAGTTGTCATATGACCAAAAATTCCTCGGGCTGTACCTTGGTAACTCCAAGAGAGCATATGTCTATACACAAATTTATACATAAATGTTCATAGTAAAACTAATACTAGATAAAAGATAGAAACAATATAAAGCTGATCAATTGAATAAAAACTTATTTTAGATAATATTATTATTAATGTATTTAGTCAGACAAAGAAACAAATGTCTGACAAATATTGTCTTGAGACACCAAAGAAAGACCAAAAATGTTAAGCAGATACAGGAAAGGAATGAATTCCTTCACTTCTGGGTCTGATTAAGACTCCTGCCAGCCCAGTTAACAGTTTCTGTGAAGGTTTACTGACATGCACACAATATTCATTCTCTGCATGGATATTACAAAGAACAGTAAAACAGCAATCATGCTGACAGCCTAAGCATACATAATCATTTTCCCTTTCCAGACTTTGTAAACATGCAAAGTCTTAGGACTCTTAGAAGAAAACCTATTCATAGTCCAAGAGATGCCTCAGCAGCCTTCTAACACATGCTTTATCATACCCGATTATAATTCCTACACAAGGTACCCCTAAAGTCACATTTATTTAGCAAAAACAAGCAAGAGAGCTTTGACATAGGGAGCAGCTGCTGTAGCCCTCTGGGATAGAACTCCCCAAGCAGCAAAGATATGCAAAATTTTGACTCCAAAAAATTCTCTAGGTGTGAGAAGAGTGAGGACACATGCCATCAAGCAGGAAGTGCATTGAAGATGATCACAGTAACTTACTTAAGGGAGATGAAGTCCATGGAGAAGCGTACTACTGTGGGATCTGTGCTCTGTAGAGTGAGTGCTGTTTTAAAGGGATGTTGTATCAGACTACATCCAGAAAACAAAACTGGAGGAGTGGGTGAGTAGAAAGAAGGCTGGAACACTCTAGGCAAGAAGAAAAAGTAACCTGATTTATTGTGAGAAGATGAAGAGGAAGGTGGCAGGGAAGTCTCTGGAGGGAGCAGGGATGAGGAAGGAGAAACAGCAGAAAGGAGACACTGTGTCAGAAGATGCAAGGACAAAGGGGAAGATACCAGTGGGCCAGCTGCTTCAGTGATGTGGGATCAAGGGGAAAAGTGGCCCCAAGAACAAGAGTTAAGACAGGAGATGGTCAGACTCACTGTTGGTCAAAGGAGAGGAAATACAGTAGCCTAAAGGGACAGGAAGTTGAATATCCTTCTGCTGGTGGAGACCAGAGGGTGATGGAGAAGGAAATAAGGAAGGAAGGAAGGCAAATTTATCCTCAAGCAAGATGAGCAAGAAAGCCATAAGTTAAAGGTCTTGCAGCTGTGCTCACTCCCTGCTGGGTCAGAGGTTAGAGGACAAATGGTGTGAGTAGCCTCTTGTGGAAAGGTGGGACAGAGCAGAGAAGATGAGCATCCTGGAGAAAGCCAAAGTGCACCCCAGCAAGGTTGAGGGAGAAAGAGATTGGAGAAAAGCTGCCCATCCATAAACCACAAGGAGAGCACATGGAAAAGAAAGCTTTCTAGACTGGGTACAGCACAAGGTTTGAAATTGAGAGCTCTCAGGCTTAGCAAAATGAGAACTCTCTCAAAGAGAACTAGATGAGTGATCCTGTAGAGTGGGTGAGCCTTTCCTGTGTTTGAAAAGTTTTCCTAATGTTCCTGTTTTCCACCAAAGCTTCCTACATTAAGTTCTGCTTGTGTGTCTTGGCCTCATAGAGTTTCATTCTTCATAGTTTTAAAAGTTTGTCCTTAAATAACTAAACAAATAAATACTGGATCTCTGTTAAGTATAAAGGAGAATGAGGGTTTGTCAGCAACGTTGTAGGATGTAACATCTGAGAGCCACCAAAGCCCCACAGTGTAGCTACTGCTGAGACACTGAAGCCATGCTCTCCTTGAGAGCCCTGCATGCCTCGATGTGTCTCATTCTCTCTTTTCCTACTTTTCTTTTCTTTATATCTTTCTCTAAATATATTTGTGTTTGCTTCTTAATCAATCCAACTCCATTTCATACTGTCTCTTCGTGAAATTCCTTTCTGTGGCAAAGTGAAAAATGGTGGTTTCACTTGAGTTGAGATTTCTGAACTTAATCCCACTCCCACGGACGACACTGTGCAGCAAGACTGTTGCCTGTGCCCCAGTCACTGACACCTTGAACACTTGAGGCTGAGCCTTGGAAACATCAGGTTAGTAAAAGACCACACACAGGACCACATACTCGTTTAAACAAAGTGCTCTTGACTGGTTTAAAAAGGTAGAAAATGGATTAGTGTTTGCCAGGAGAGGAGGCTGGGTGTATGGAAATGCGTCTGGATACTGGGCACCTTCCCCATCCACCCCGCCACCCCACAGGTCCTGAATGTTATTAAAAATCCCACAGACATTTTTTTCTCGGCACACAGCAAAGCTCCTCTCCTACTACTTTCACTTTGAGCCACTTTCTCCCCCCCCCCCCCCCCCCGACCAGAGTCTCCGCCCGCCCAGTACTGTATGACTATAGGGTCAGCAGAGTCCCACAGGTCGCTCTGCTAGGCTACCGGGAGCATCAAGGCTGCAAATGCTGGATTGAGAAGCCACAACAGTGGTAGGTGTGGGCACCTGGCTCGGGGTGGCGCTGTGGGACGCACAGAGGTCAGGTTTACAAGGCATAGGCTGAGTCCAGGAGGGGAAACAAAGACTGCTGAGTTAGGGAAAGAGACAGGAGGTGTTGTCTGAGCTTTTTAAATGGTGACTCCTCTAGAAACTCCAGCCGCCCAATGGCAGGGAGATGGCTCCTAGGGCTTGTATTCTAAGCTGTGTTGGCTCCTCCTCAACTAGTTCGAGGGAACTAGGTTTTGGCAGCCTCTCCACTGGCCTCTTTTTATACTTCCTCTCAGTCCCTACCAACTACGCAATTTGAAGGTCTCTGCCTTCTCCTTGGGGACATTGGAAAGTAATCTATCTCTTACTTCCGGGCCTTTTAAACATCTGGGAGCTCCAGGCTAAATTTGAGCACTGCTCATTCCCACTTATAAAACAATTACCTCCATGTTGACAGCAATATTGTCTTTGATTATTTATCTGAGTAATCAAGCATCTGCTTTCTCTGAGTATGCAACCAGGCGCTTACTATTAGAGTGGCAGACATCTCCTGTACCTTCACAGAGCTCCAGAGGAGGGAGGATGGTGGACAGCAATCAGTAAGAGAAAGGATTACGCTTAGGAGTGCTGAGCAGACCTGGGGTGGGGCAGCTGCACTAGGCTAGGACAGCAGAGGCCCTGAGGCTGTCCTGTTCCAATGAATGTGAGAAGAGTGAGAAATTTGAACTCAGTAACAGGGATGGGGGAAGTGACCTTCGAGGTGGAATAAACAGCACTTCAAGGACTCAGAAGCAACTTTAAAGTGTCATAAGGGTGTACAGGAATGTAGGCATGCAAGCTGGGTCAGTTGAGAGGACCAACCAGAGAATAAGTCATGGAAATAAAGCAGCCCCACCTTTCCCCCATAGCCCTGGAAGACTTAAGGGGAGGAGTTAAAGGAGCTAAGTACAATCCCAGGATGCTGAGTCCCTCTGAGGAGTGGGAAGAAGCCTGGGTTGGGGTGTTCTGAGGCTCCCTAGGTTTTTAGTCTGCATTTTAGCACAGTAGGAAGCACTCTGGAACCCACTTCCAGGGTTCAAAGTTCATATGATAGTGAGAGCACAGCCACTGGATGGAGTGTCTCAGAATTGGATTTAGGTATCAGGAGCAGTTACTTAGTCTGGGTCAAAATGTCCATTCATCTGGGAGGTGAGGCATGCTCAGTAGAAAAGCAGCCAGGGTGCCTGCAGCTGATGCAAGGTCCCCTGAGCAGCCACTGCAGGGGCATGCTCCCTGATACACAGCACAACAATAATGGCAGCTTATCTTTGGGTTTCATTCAGCATCTCAGTCTTTTCTGTAGCATCTCCAAAATGGGGAGGGTACTCTCTAATTCCTCATGGATAACTCAGGAGAAGTTTTCACAAGCAGAGGCCAGAATACAGAGTTGCTTAGTCAGGCAAGAGGACCCAGTGTTCCTAGTTGGTTGTTTTTTTTCCCTTGTTTCTTCTTCTTCTTTCTCTTCCTTCTTCCAACTCTACCTTCTTCAGAAGAGAGGAGCTGGTCTGTATGGAAGGGAACTGAATACCACCTCCCTCTGCTGTGTTTTGTGTTTGTGATCCTGATGATCTTCCTTCTACCTGTGTAGATGAGAAAGAAGCTAGTTTGGCCTGCTGTAATGACCAAACCTAGCTAATAACCTTAAAATTGGAAAGACTATGGCCTAGAATTAACTTTTGAAATCTAATTTAAAGTACCTATGACCACTGAAATGACAAGGAGAAATAGAGTCCCAGATTTCCCTGCCTCAGAACAATGAACCTTCAGCTCTATGTTGAATTTTATATCTCCTTCCCCACTCCCCCCCAGACTCTGCATCATGAACACTCTGTCTGAAGCAAATGGCACCTTTGCCATCCATCTTTTGAAGATGCTATGTCAAGACAACCCTTCAGAAAATGTGTGTTATTCTCCTGTGAGCATCTCTTCTGCTCTAGCTATGGTCCTCTTGGGGGCAAAGGGACAGACCGCTGTCCAGATATCTCAGGTAAGTTCCCGGTCATATCCACACCTGTGCTACATGCATAAGAGCTGCTAAGAAGGAAACAGTAGGAATATGCACACACTGTTTCGTGGAGCAGGGGCTAAAGAGGAAGGACAGAGTCTCTTCCAGTAAGACTTCTTTAAGGGCAATGAGATTTCCTGAGTAATAACTTGGAGATAGCTGAATATTTTGCCTAGAATTCAATTAACAGTGGTACATAAATAATACTATACTTGGTGACACAAACCTTTAATTACAGCTACTAAGGAGACTGAGACAGGAGAATCCCAAGTCCAAGACTAGCCTGAGCAAATTAGTATCAAAAAAATCAAGGTTTTTTTTTTTCAAAGATGGAAGGAGCATCTTAGGGTTACAACTTAGGTATAGTCTCAAGTACTGCAATGTGAGAAGATAAAAAGATGTTGAAATTATTTGAAAGAGAGTTTGCAGGGATCTATCTTATTTTTAGAGCAATAGGTTTTGTAATTATTTGTTGGCAAGAAAGGATAATTCCTTCTCTTAATTTTGTCCAGTATGCCTTGCTTCAGCTAAAATACTGAACGGGGCAAATGTGTGGAGCTGTTACATGTCCTAACTGGGCATTGGGTAGATTACTTTTAATAAGCATCCTGAGAGCATTCCAGGAGATTAGGAATGGGTTTCTGACCTCAGAGGGTTCCAGGACAGGCAGGAGCCGTTTGTCTGAGGAAAAAATCCTCAGCATACAGCTTCACAGTGGGAAGTCATCACTGTTGCTCTGTAGTTTGCCAGGACTTTCTTTCTCATGAAGATCCTTTCAGGTCTAAGTGCTCATCCTTATCATTTCCAAACAGTCCATGAGGACATGAGTATGTAGAGAGGCTTCTTCCTAAGGGAAGTTCTCGTGGTCTTTTCTAGGTTTAGGTTCACTAATAAACATTTACAGAGAGCTTATATATTGTATAGCATGTATGTCCATATATGTGAATGCATGTGTGTGTGTGTGTGTGTGTGTGTGTGTGTATACATGCCCTTGTCTATCTATTTTGTTGGGGGGCCAGGAGTGATCGCTGTGTGTCTTACTCTCTCTCACGTTCCTCCCAGTGCTGGAATGACCTCCATGCACACTGGGCCATCTTCTATGCTCAGTGAGAGTCCAACTCAGATCCTCATGTACTTTACTTTCTGAGCCATCTCTTTACCTTGACAATTCCTTTTGAAACAAAATGTTTTATCATTGAGCTCATAATGTTTCATCTTTTCCTTCCCAGGCACTTGGTTTGAACAAAGAGGGAGACATCCATCAGGGTTTCCAGTGGCTTCTCAGTAACCTGAACAAGTCAGACAGAAAGTACTCCCTTAGAGTGGCCAATAGGCTCTTTGCAGACAAAACTTGTGAAGTCCTCCCAGTAAGTGTATCAGTAGAATAATATCAATTGAATGCAAGGTAGTTGTTGTTGTAGATCCTAGGAGAAGGACCCTAGAGAATTTGAGAAAATTACAGATCATGCTCTACTCAGTGTGAGGCTACATATCTATAATACCTTTATTTTGATGGCTGAGACAGAAGGGTCACATGTTCTAGGCCAGCTTAGGCTACATCATGAGACTCACCTAAATAATCTCCCCAAGGATCACAATTCTATAATGATACCTTGAAATATTTTTAAATTGACTACTTGTAATTTTTATTTACTCATGTCTCAGTTGAAAAGTTCCAGTACTTAAAGATGTTGGTTGTTTAAAGTGATGTCTACATTCATTTTAGTTTTGTTTTTGTTTTTAATGCCATAGTATTCAATAGTTTGGAATGCTTGCTGAAATGTCATTATGTAATGTTACTTCCCTGAATATTTTCTCTTTAAAGACCTTTAAGGAGTCCTCCCTTAAGTTCTATCATTCGGAGATGGAACAGCTCTCCTTTGCCAAAGATGCAGAAGAGTCTAGGAGACACATAAACACATGGGTCTCCAAACAGACTGAAGGTCAGAATTTCAAATTATTTCACACACTACATTCTTGTCCTTTCCATCTGCCCAGTCTCTTCTTCCTTCTATGCCCTTTCTTTTAATTCCCCTTCTCCCTACCACAGACGGATCTCACAGTTATTTCAGAGTCAAAGTCATCCAGACTATCTAGACCATCTGGTATAATTTAGAGCTCTGTAAATTCATGGAGGTTCTACTCAGCCACTTAGATTTTAAACACAGAGTTGTTTGTATATTTCCCTAGGACAGAAGGACTGACGCAAATGTGATGAAAACTCATGGGCCTTATTTTCAATCTAACAGTTTACATTAGAAGACATGAGGGGTTTGCAGCATTCCCAGGTCATGTGACTCTGTCGTCTCTGAGAAGGAGATTCATGGGTAGACCTTCCCCACAATCCTGCTCTAGGACTGCTTCTTCCCACAGTCTGTGTTGTCTCAGCTCTCTCCACCTCTACCTCTGAACAGGACCTCTATTTCTGCTTCTACATTTTCTGCTTCAGATTGGTTACTTACATTTGACAGAATTAGACTTGATTTCCATTGAAGACCCTGTCAGCTGCTCAGATACATTAACCTGAAAGAGCTTCCCATGTGGGGTTGAACTTTATTTGCTTTTATTTCAGAGATGACAGGTTCCAACATTGGTCTTTGAGATTGTTGTCTGATATTTGAACCACTCAGATCCCTCTCTATCTCTAGGTACATTCTTATTTCTGCTAAAGGACAGAGAGTAAAGAATGAGAATCTTTTCTTAGACTCATCAGTTATTTGCACATTTCTTGTTACAGTCTGTACTTCTTCTGCACTCTTGATATTGTAAATTATCAAGGATTGCCTTGATCAGGGAAAGGATATCCCTTAACAGAGAAGAAGGGAATCTGTCCCTTTACCCACATTTTCTTTTCTAGTGATGGAGAGCACTCACCTGTGCCTCCTCCACCAATATCTTTCTGATTTTGAATTGCTGACATGTTGTGGTATGTTAGACCTGGGCATGACCATGGAGCACCAGATGAGACCCTGTATTTAACATTAGTGTATTAGTAAGGGCTCGCTGGAGGAACAGAGTGGTACATATTATGGAGAGGACTCAGTAGATAGGCACACACAATACAGGCTGAATGGATAGTGACCATCTGCATGTGGAGAGACTGAAAATCTGGTAGCTGTTGAGTCTATGAGAATGGAGACTTTAGCAGGCTCAGTCTGGCATGGAAGGCCTAGAGGATTCTGCAGAGACACTAGTCTTTATCATCATGATGGCCAAATCAATCGTCAGCTAAAATTGGCAGGCACAGTGGCTTGAACAGTGCACTCTACAGCAACGACTGAAGGCAATTAGAAAAAAGCAGGGCTGCTTCTTTCTCAGACCTGTATATCTGGCAGCACAGCATTGTGTTGCTCACCCTAGGGAGCTTTCTGTCCATTACTTAGTCTTTCTGGGCAGAGACAAGTTGTTTATTTGTTTGAATCCAGAACCAATTAAGATAGTAACCAACAGTAACCACCCCAGGGGGGTAACCATTGTTCCCTCCTCCTTCCACATTTCCTGCTTGTTTTGTTCTCCATCCTGAAATCTCTCTTTTTGCTTTACCCAAACCTGCTTTCCTTGATGGACCTACAAGTCTTTCGTCATCCTCACCTGATGATGTTCCTCCAGGGTTTGTAGCCTCCAGTCAAATATGGGTGTTAGTGTTTTCTTTTGATTTATCTTTGATATGTTTATCCAAATTCAGCAAATATGGAAACATGATGCTTAGATCTGCCCAGATGTCTTACCAGTTTATGTCTCACACACATATAAACGAAAACTGAATGAAGTCTCTGCTTTCTCAATAGGCAAAATTCCAGAGTTGTTGTTAGGTGGCTCAGTTGATTCAGAGACCAGACTGGTTCTCGTCAATGCCTTATATTTCAAAGGAAGGTGGCATCAACCATTTAACAAAGAATACACAATGGACATGCCCTTTAAAATAAGCAAGGTAAGAAACAGCACCCAAACATTCAAAGGACAACTTCCTTATATTTCAAAGGAAAGTGGCAATAACAGTTTCACAAAGAATGCGCAGTGGAAATATCTTTTAAAGTAGATAACATAAGGAACAGCATCTAAAAATACATGCCGGTGTGATGAAGAAATTGCATGGAAAGCTTTAATCGTGAATGGGTAGCTCATGGCTCAGTGGTAGAGACTGAATATCCTGTGTGGGGTGCTGGCCTTGACTCTCAGACCAGAAAGAAAGAAAACAGGAAAGCACAAACACCATTTGAGATTTATATTTCTAAATGAAAGGATAAACTCCACAGAAAAATGGTGGGAATAAGGAGTGTTTGCTGCTGTATGACTTTGCCTTCTGTTGTTGGCTCACGCTGCTTTTCCTCATTTCTCATAAAGCTTTGTTTCTACCTAATTTTCAAAATTACGTTTTCCTTTAAGTTCAAGAAATCAAAAACATAGGTGCTAAGGTAGTATAAACTATGTATGGCGCATGAGCAGGGTGGAAAGGAGTGTATAAACATTTATATAATAAATAATGTTTTAATTAAAATAAGCATTTTAAATTACTGGTCAATTTATCATTATTAAGTAGTATTTATAGCTTTCTAATATTGAAAACAATGATTCAGATCTCGGTCCAAATTAGAATATAACTTGAGTTAGTGTAGATATTAGAAGAGTTTACTCAGTACTTATAAATATAATTTAATATGTTTAGGAGCATTACAAATATTAAACTTTCCATTCTCTTTTTATTAACAGTACTCTGAAAATGTTTGTAAAAGAATGAGATTTTTTTTTAACTTGGGAATTTAACCTTTATTATGAATGGTCTGTAGCAAATTTTTATGTTTATTATACCACTGTAATTAAAATCTTCACATATGATGAAAACACTTTAAAAGTTTGAAAAATACTGATCAACTATTAGAACTGAACCTGCTGGAATAAAGGACAAAAGGATATCCAGATGCTCCCCTAACTTTTAATGGGTTGACAAGAATTTTCTACTTTGTGATGGGTTATCAGACTGTTTCTGTATCACATAGAAACATGTCCATATGGTTCCCATCGTGGAGTAATTTAACTTGGGAGTTCCCTTCCCCCTGATGGGCTATCTGTATGTAGTTCGGCCCTAAGCCCATGAGTGTCTGTGTTCTTGAGCTTTCTGCTTTGTGATGGCTTAGAAAGTTTTGACCCATAGTGAACCTTTGAGCCTGTGTGCTCCTGTTGTCAGGCTGTTTTCTGAGATGATGCATCTGACCATAGGCCCATCACAGCACTATGAAAATATTCCAGTCTATTTTATGATTTTTTTCTGTTAATCATAATTGACTGTGCTGTTTCCTTAGATATGATTGTTGGCCACATTAAATGATAAAAGTCCTGCATCTGTTATGTTAGTCATCATTCCATTAGTGTAACAAACTCTCTGGGATAATCAACTTAAAAGTAAGAGGTGTTTATTTTGGCTCATGGTTCTAAAAGTTTTATTTTCGGTCCACCGGCCCAATCATTCCAGGTTGTGGTGGTAAAGCACAGCATGGTGGAAATGCATGTTGAAGGTTTGCTCACCTCACAGCACTCAGGAAGCAAAAGAAAGAAACACAAAGGAGCTACAGTGCCTTCAGAAGAACCCCTTTTGAAATATTTAGCTTTCTTCCATTAATATCTTCCTCCTCAGAGTTTGGCTAGCTCTTGGTAGTGGCTATCTGGGGACAAAGGTTTTGAAACATGAGCCTTTGTGGAACATTCAAACCCAACTCTAGGGTTTTAGAATATTAATGTGTGAATGCTATGTTTCTTTTTCTAGATAACACAGTTGACTTTCTGCAGTTAGACCCTGTCCTGATTTTTTGTTTTTGTTTTTTGTTCTTGTGTGTGTGTGTGCATGTGTGTATGCACGTGCATGCACATGCGTGTACTTGACCCAAGCTAAAAAAGGAAGGACTCTAAGTTGAGGAATTGACTCCATAACATTCCTCTAGAGGCAAATCTGTTGGGCATATTCTCAATGGTTACTGGAGAAGGGCCCAGCATGTTGTGGTGATGCCAAAACTGGGCAGATAGTCTTAAAAGCATGCTGAGAAAACATGGGGGAGATGCCAGTAAGTGGCATTCCTTCACGGCTTCAGCTTAGCTCTGGCTCTGAATTCTCCCAGTAATGGATGTGACCTGAGAGTTGTATTATGAAATAAATCCTTTCCTCCCTAAGTTGCTTTTTGGCATGGTGTTTTACCACATAGGAAACAGCCTAACTGTCCCATATCTGCTTACATTCAGTATCTTTAATGAAATCAGGAAGAGGAGGGTAGACATTGTTTACTGAAACATGAATATTGTTTACATTGTGTGTGCTGAATATTTCACTGTGAGGCCTGAAATTAACTGCATCTCATTTGAAAACCTTGACCGCTCCCAATAATATGCTTTATGTCATGTATTTCTCTGTTCAGGATGAGAAAAGGCCAGTGCAGATGATGTGTCGTGAAGACACATTTGACCTGGCCTATGTGAAGGAGGTGCAGGCACAAGTGCTGGTGATGCCATATGAAGACATGGAGCTGAGTTTCGTGGTCCTGCTCCCAGATGATGGCGTGGACATCAGCAAGGTGAGCCAGGAGAGTCCACAGCATTCATCACTCTAAATCTCTTCAAGAAGAATCCATTGTCCCTGGTATCCTTTGTCTTTAGAACAGAACTAAATGATTTTACCTTGGCTAGTACCAGTTGAGTGGGTGGTACTCACAGACTCAGCTTTGAGTTGTGTGTGTTGGCACTGGGCTTTGAACTCAAAGCTATGTCCAAGACTCCCATTGTAGGCTTTGTGCTCTTGCCATATGACATAAATTTATCATTAGAATGGGCAATGCCTACCTGATAGCATGAAATCCGGACAACTCATACAGTAAACTTAGCACAGTTCTTGGAAAATAATCCTCCTCCATAAATATAATCCATGTCATGATGTTTGTCAGTATTGTATTCAATATCTGAGAACATGTGTAGAAAAATTGTTTCACTTTGACCTAACAAAGAGGAAGAAGAGGGGTGCAGCTGGGGAGAGCAGAGTCAAGCAGTTCATGATAACAGTTTTTGATCTTCCTGCAGCAGGATTTCCCATGGTGTGTGAGCCATTCTCTGAATGGTGGGCAGAAGAGTGTGCATGACCTAAGGGCTCTTTGTAAGCAGACCAGCTCCATAGTTCCAAGTATCCAGCTCCCTAACTGTGGCATAATTTCCCTGAGATATTACTAGTTTTTCATCCCTGACAAAATGTGTGACATGAATAACCTAGAGCAGAAAGAATTTATATAGGCTCACAGTTTCAGAGCATTCATTTTAAGTTACCTGTTCCATCACTGGTTGGTATCGTAGCAGCTGCACATTGCAGGGAATACAGATCTTTTGGTTAGCAGGAAGCACAGAAAGGAGAAAGGACACATAGGATCAAAGCCAAGCTTCCAAGAAACACCTCCAGCAACTACGACCTTCATTCAGCTAGACTCACTTCGTGTCTAAAATTTTGTCTTCCTTCCAAAATGTTGCCACAAGCTTCAAAACAAGGGTCTGCTATGAGCCTTTGGGTGGAATTTCACATTCAAGCCATAACAGCTCCCCAAGCACATAGTGTTCTGCCCTGGATCAGCCTCTGGTATGGCTCACAACAAGAGTTATTTCTTTCAGATTTTTTTTCAATTTTTATTTTAGCAACAGTGATTCACTATCTTGAAACAAAGTGTAGTTCAAGAAAACAAAAGGAAGCATAACCTAAACCATTTATCACCTGGACATGGACACCTTTTGGAATAAAAGATATCTCAGAAGTGATTTAAGAGAGGGCAGCCATGTATTTTTATCCCTGGGCTGCTTGTCAGCCATGCCCATCAGGGAGGACACATACGATTTACTGGGACAGTGGTATGTCACACTGCCTGTTCATGTGAATAAACAGTGTGCCTTGAATAGGAGTGCTCTGTGGTTCTGAGGAAGACCTCAACAGTGAATCTGAAATTCTCTAATTCTTCTTTGTCAGGTGGAAGAAAATCTCACCTTTGAGAAGTTAATAGCCTGGACCAAAGCAGACTTTATGGAGAACACTGATGTTGAAGTTTTCCTTCCAAAATTTAAACTCCAAGAAGATTATGACATGGAGTCTGTGTTTCAGCACTTGGGAATGGTGGATGTCTTCCAAGGGGACAAGGCTGACTTAGCAGCAATGTCTCCAGAGAGAAACCTGTGTGTGTCCAAGTTTGTTCACAAGAGTGTAGTGGAGGTCAACGAGGAAGGCACAGAGGCTGCAGCAGCCTCTGCCGTCATAGAATTTTGCTGTGCCTCTTCTGTCCCAACATTCTGTGCTGACCACCCCTTCCTTTTCTTCATCAGGCACAACAAAACCAACAGCATCCTGTTCTGTGGCAGGTTCTCATCTCCATAAAGGCACATTTACTGTGTGAGGAAAGTTCACACTTCAGTATCTCCACCATTCCTACATCTCTGTCAGGATGGGCAAGTAGGGGGAAACCATGTTCAAAGATGAGGGCACTTTCTTCCTGTCAGTCTGGTATTATGATGCCAGCATTCAGCTCTCCCTGTTCTGAATGCATCTGTGCCTTTTGCCAAGTTATGTCTAATGATGCCATATACCCTCTGCTATGCCACTGATACCCATAATTTATAGCCAATAATTTATAGCAAGTTAGAACTGATTTCACTGTGTGGGAATGCTATGACAGAGCTGGAGAGAAGGCACAGATGGTAGGAAAGGTTGCTGCTCTTGCAGAGGACACAGGGACATTTCCCACCACCAACATAGCTGCTTACAACCTCTGGAAATCCCAGCTTCCATCCATGACTTGACGCCTTTCTTTGGCTGTTACTGGCTCCAGCATCCTGCATATGCACACATCCTCACTCAGAGTTACGCACAAACATGTAAATTTTTAAAAATAAATAAAAGTTTAAAAAGAGTCTTAAATTTCAGTAATGGTTGGATAATAGCTACTATTGTGGCTTTTTCCAGTTTTAGTGCCATTATTCTTGTGTACAGAGCCAACAGTTTGTAGGTAAATATCAGTGGCATGCCAGGATCTTATCTTCATCCCCTTTCAAACACATTGTGTCAGGAGCCATAATGGGACAAGCTAATAATTAGCAGTTGATCATCCTGAAATGCTTGCCTCGGATTATTATATAATCTGTGACAAGTGTGTCCCATTCAGCAAGGCTGTGGCAGGACATATTTTAGGAAAGATCCTGCTATTAATATGCTTTTCCTATTATTATTATTAAACATATGTAACAATCACTAAGCAATAGCACTCCCCTTTGGAGCAGATTTCTGCAGATCCACGAAGATGTACTGTCTTGTAGTGATGCTATATAGATAAATAGATAACTTCTTAAGTCTTAATGATGATCCTATAAGAATTCCTAAAATTATATCAATGATTATTTAGCTCTTTTTATAGTGGGACTGGTATTACGTCCCTTTCTGATAGTCAAAACTTCTATGAGAACTCTGCCAGTCTTCCAAGTGTTATCAGTTAACAGCACTTAGATAGTAACCAGACTCTCTCCTGCTCAGAGCATATTCTAAGGTGGTTGTAAAACAATTAGCCAAAGGTCACTAAAAGGGAACTCACGATTTATTACAGATGCTAGGACAGAAGAGAAAATATTGCCTGGGTTTATCTATACAAAACTTCACTAATTTCTTAGTTATAGTTTTAAGCCTTCAGTGAACCTGTGGACTAGACAGGTGATGGATGTTTAGCCAGATATTACTCCTAATGGATATGCATGTAAACATTATCTGTTGTAAACTTCTATTTCAATTTATGATTTGAATTTTGGTGTGAACTTGTGACGAACTTTGTAACATGTGATCATGTACTCGGAATGAGGTATAAGTACTGAAGACAAAGACAGACATTTGTTCGTTAGGAGCCATCTGCTCTCCCCCTTCTTTTTTCCCTGCTTAGAATTTCCCCACTTAGAATTTTTCCTCTGTTATAATTCTTTCCTTTTCCCCACTTAGGGCCTTTCCACCTTGTCTCTTAGATAGCTTTTATAGGAAACTTTTTACACTTAGTAATAAACTATAGTAACTTTTCTAAGTGTCTTTTCTTCCTGCGACCTCAAACTAACAGACCTAAGTTAGAGCCTGGCAGTGCCTGCAGAGAGAGTACTAAGGTTATTTGCCTAATTCTCTGCAGACCCTGGGCTGAGGTGCTAGTGGCCAGAAACTACAGTTTCTGACCTCAGAGGATCAAACAGATTGCTGGTCAGCTACAGTAGCCTAGTAAGTAAACTTTAGTAATGTAGACAAGTAAGATTTCATTAAACAGCAACCCTAAATATCTCGTAAGACCAAAGTCTTACCCCGAATCTCTTAAGACCAAGTCTTACCTCCGCTGACACTTCCAATTCCCATCCTCCTTGGCTGCCTCAAGAAGAACCAACCGACCAGAGGAGAAGAAAGAAGATCACCTTCTCCTCCCACCAAACTGGAGCTGGCTCCCAGCAACATTGTTTAATTATCAAGCAGTGACTCCTCATTCTTCCTCCCTTTGGACACATAACCACCAATCTTCTCTCTGTCTCTGTAGCTTTATCTATTTTGGACATTTTATATAGATTTCCTCTTTGCTTTCTTGATAATGTTCCTTGATGCACACAGATTGCCTTTTTCAATGACATCCTCTTTATTTAATACTGTTCTGATCATGAGGTATCCATGCCACAGCTAAGAATCTCACTCCTAAAGTCAAGTACAGAAATAACTGCCCCTGTGTTTTCCTCCAAGGCTTTCACAGATTATGGCTTATATATCTAGGTCACTGTTTCAGTTTGAATTAAATTCCATATATGGCATGGTGTATGAGCCCAATGTGATTCCTTTATTTATGAACATCCAGTTATCCCAGTACTTGTAATTGCTTTGAATCATGAGGTAATGATCAATGAATAGGAAAAAAATGCTTCAGCTAGTGGAGTAGGATAGAAGTTACTCAATTTATATATTGAACATTACCACAAGAGTGAAAGAAAAATATCAAAAATGAACAGGAAATTAAGAAGGAAACATTAAAAATTCTGTAATCAAGGCCCTCAGAGATGACTAGTGGGTAAAGGTGCTTGCTGCCATGCCTGACAACTTGAGTTCTATTTCTGTAACTCACATGGTAGAAGAAGAAAACTGACTCTAACCAGTTGTCTCTGAGCTCACCTTATGCACCACAGAATGCACATGCACAAATAAATAGATGAAAAATTCCCATAAATTGTGGGACTGCATAAGGGTATCCTGGGTCATGGTTGAGCAGGTACTTAGAACCCCGAGATTCTCCGTGGAATTCTGCGTGAGAACCGGCAGGAGTTTGGTCCCTCCCATCATCTAGGATCCTGAAAACAGTCACATTTCCATAGAGTCACATAGGCCAGGCTATAGGCCTCAGGCTCTAGAGATTTGCATACTAATGAAGGCCAGAGGGCAGAGCAAATTAAACATTCCTCCCCCAGATCCTCCCCCAATCCTCCCCCTTTCTCCCTCCCTATATAACTCGGGACTGCCCTGAGTTTTGGGGGGGTACTCCTAGATCCATCTATTATCCATCATGACAATAAATCTTTTTGGAACCAAGGACTTCCTCCTGTTACTGGGGCCTGCTGCCGCCAAGGCCCTCAGGCCGCTGGAACCATAAGATCTCCCTCCCTAATGTGGGACCCGCCACGGTGGCGCGAGCTTGCGCCTTTTTAAATTTTCCCCACAATAAATCAGATTAAATGATTCACTCAGTTAATAATCAGAAAAAAATTATTTCCTGACAGGAAGTTAATCTTGCTAGGGAAAGACAGGAAGTAAAGTAATAGGGGCCCAAGAAATTCTGAAAGTGATAAACTAAGCCAGGATATACTCTTATACATCGGCATGTGTCCTGGGTCCTGTGGGTCTGCTTCTTCCCTGCCTCTGGATATGACCTCTTGAGGAGGCAGAAAGCCAGAAGTTTGACTGAACTTATTCCAAGCTGCTGTGCTTCCACCTGGGCAGGATGTAGGCAAGCCAGAGCTGGTTTGAGGTCCCCAGGCCTGCAATGAGGCCAGGATCAAGGAGTTCTCTGACTCTTGGACATCCAGGCACCTGTGGGCATCTCAGAAGAGCCGAGAAAGGAGTCTGGGACAGAGTCTAGTATGGGGCCAGGGCAGGGGTAGGGGGCAGGAAAGCTCTGGCTTGTCCCAGTTGTGATTGTCCTTAGCTTGGCAGAGACAAGCTTGGTGGTGATTGTGGCTGGGAGCACAGAGAGGCCTTCTATGTGAGAATTAAGCTGTGGCTTTATAGGTAAATGCCTTCTTCATGGCTCCCCAAAGTGGATTTTGATGAAAGAGACAATCCATTGTTCTAAACAGTTTATTAGTCGTTCATGGTGGAAAATGGGGGCATAACCATTTTCTCAGGGTCTGACCCAAGATTAAATACCTTTTGCAGTGAGGAAGGTCTGGGAAAAGAAGCTTATTGGCTAAGCCCTCAGGGCCTCTAGTACCTCATTAGCATGGAGAACTCTGTTTTGGGCCTAGGTGATCATAGGACATGTTTCTTTAGGTGAGGAGTGTGGCACATGTTCCAGACCAAGAGTCTGGTAGGGAGCTGGGAATCACCTAAGTCTCAGGTGTGTGTCCACAAGTCTCTGGGTCTCAACCTTCCCTACCTTCCCTAGCTTCCTGGCATAGTTTTGTCATCTAACAGCTTCCAGAAGATTCAATTCCAGGACATATCCCAGTGATGTCACCACACAAGTCCACAATGATATAGGTCTATAAGCCAAATATACCCTTTCCTCCTCAACATGCTTTGTTCATGATGCTTTATCACAGCAGTAGAAACCCTAACTACACAAAGTCAAATGTAATGTACTTCCAGTCTGGTAGACAGATGGTCCCTCATTTTAAAAAGAGACAGAATGATGCATACTTTCTATTAGCCTGGTTCCTACTACTGTAACAAAATACTAAATCTTGGCAATATCCTGCTTATTGTAAAACCCAAGACCACCTGCCTAAGAGTGTTACTGTCCACAGAATCGAGGCTGTCTCATGATCTCAACACACATGAAAAATGGACCAGAATAGTGAGTGTCAAGTGATGATAAATAAAGAGGAGGAATAAAGCAGATTCAAGCAATAGCTGGAAACATGAGGTCTTGTATATGCTGAAACCTGAGGCCCTTAACTTATACTGAGAACAGTATGTGTGTATGTGTCTATGTGTGTGTGTGTGTGTGTGTGTGTGTGTGTGTGTATTAATTAAACTTTCAGGCAGAAAACCATCCAAGGTCAGCAGAAGTCTAAGTCATAACTCATGCAAGGCTCTGGCTCCAGCCCTAGACCAGCTTTGTCAAGTATGCTCCTGGGCTAGTACACAGAACTGAAATTTCCTTCCATCAGAGTCTCTGAGAAACTCTTGGGTTGATTTGCCTAACCACACCCATTATCAAAAATTAATCTAGAACATATCCCTCAGTGTTGCGTATGGGCCAATATAACAGAGGCCTTCTCAATTGAAGTTTCTCCCTCCTACTGTTAGTATAACAGAAGGCCCTGCTTTGTACCAAATTGATAAGAAATATTAGCAGGACACATATCAGAGAAATAATTCCACCAAGTCTAGTCTTGGTGGGGTTACTTTCAGGAGCATGAAAGAGTCAGACAGCTGCTCTTGAAAAGTTCACTCAAGCCCCATGGCCACTCATTAATGTGGCATCACTGGAGCAGCTTGAGCAACTCGAGGACAGGTCCACTGAAGTGTCCTTTCCCTTAGTCATTTCTCACTGTCATACAACCTTAATGAGGGATTCTTGGGCCTTGGAACTTCCTTATGAGTACTTTTACCTTCCTTTTGCTATCCTCCACTTACCCCCACCCATCCAAGAGGGAATTTTTCAAACTGAAGGAAATAGCCACACTAAGAGAGGAAATGGTATAGC